TATTTCAAAAATTAATTTAAGTTGACTGCAAGAATTTTTTTTCTTTTTTGCTAAAATAACTGATTATCTCCCTTTTTAGTCGTCTTTCATCGTAATATAATTCTCTTTATTAAAAAATATTCCAAAATGAAATATAGTTTTCTGAAACTTGATTTGTGGAAAATTAGCTGATGTAAATTATAATTAATTTGAATTGAAACAAATATTATTTACTTTCAAACTTAAATATCGTAGAAATGTGCATTTTTTGTGAAGAATTTGAAAATGTGATGACAGTTCTACGGAGATTTTATCTATAAAAGATAATTGAAGAAAATTACGTAAGCGCCTTTTATATTTAATTTTTACGTACTTATAAAATCTTAAAAATTCACGAATATATTCTCCGTAATCTAATGTTTTATTGAATTTTAGAAATTTTGATTTTAAATTTACTATAGTCATCGCTCTTATATTCTGATAATATCATATATGGTCGCCCGTACTTAAAAAAAAAAAAAAAAAAAAAACAGTCGGTACGCTTATACACTAATAATATATTATTATTTACATATCCAAATATTTCTAAACAAATTTTAAACCAGGCAAGGCAATAATATCACTAAGTTGCAAGGAGTTACTGGAAGTGAAAGAGAATGAAATAACTTTAGAAAGAACAGGAAACACAATCCTAAACAGAGAACAAGAGATAAGCCTCTACAACCTCCGGTCATATGAAGAGGTTCCTCACTGGGTTTTAAAAAACATCTGCATTCACCCAGTAAATGCTGAATATTGTAAAATCGAACAAATCAACTGCGGCCTTACAAAAGTCACTGCTGTTGATTTCGCATTTTGTTGATTGCATTATTTGTCTGAGTTTAAATAATTTTTAGAGAATAGTATAACGACATTCGATCTAGAATATTTTTAGCTTTGAATTCAAAGTTTATCATAAACAAAGGTAAAAAAAAATAAAAAATATAAACTTTGATTTCTCAAGTCTAGAAATTTCTAAGAATAAAATAATTGTTAAAATGCGACGAAACCTTAAAATCTATTTTCTAAAATAATAAAATTTGATTTTAAAAACATACACTCAACCACTTCAACTGAATCACATACTGTACCGTTATTTTCTTTTTTTTTTTTAAAAAAAATCATTTCATCCTAAGTAAGGAGATAAAGCCACTGGGACGCAGAGAGTTGCAATGAGTGAAAGAGAATGGGAAGACTTTAGTTTAGTAGGGAGAAGTGACGATAAACGCCTCTACTACTCTCCGGTCATATGAAGAGGTTCCTTACTGGGTGCAATATTTAAAAAAATCATCTGCATTCACCCAATAAGTGTTGAATATTGTAAAATCGAACAAATCAACTGCGGCCTTACAAAAGTTTCTGCTGTAGGTGTTGCATTATGTTCATTCTTGATTGCATTATTTACATTAATATTAAACAATTTTTAGAGAGTGGTTTAATGACACTCGATCTAGAGAGAGTTCCACAGGTGGGAAGTGCGAGGAAAAAACTGTTAGAATAGAAGACACAGTTGAATCTAGCTAGTTCAGCAGCAAAACGGTGATATCAAATGGTCAATATAGTAGCAGACTTAAATCCATGCAGTCGAGTCACATCAGATGATTTGCCATGAAAATATGTGTAGAAAAGAGGAAAATCACGTCTGATCGGTGAGAAAGTGACTGAATTCGAGCGACAGGATCGATTACATTACAGATCATTGTTTAAATTTTGTCAAATTTTCTGGTAAAATTTGTTTTAATGAAACAATTTTTTTTAATGACGCCTGTTGAATCAAATGAAAAGACATCCAAAATAACTTATATACTTAATATGTATAGATATATATACGTATGAATAAACGAAAAGACAATAATGCTCCTACTCCCCTGTCTTATGAAGAGGTTACACATTGGGTGCAATACATAAAAAAACATCTGCATTCACCCAATAAGTGCTGAATATTGTAAAATCGAACAAATCAACTGCGGCCTTACAAAAATCACTGCTGTTGATTTCGCATTTTGTTGATTGCATTATTTGTCTGAGTTTAAACAATTTTTAGAGAATAGTGTAATGGCACTCGATCTAGAGTTCTTTTTTTAGCTTTGAGTTCAAAGTTTATCATGAACAAAGGTAAAAAAAAGAACAAAAAACTTTGATTTCTCAAGTTTAGGAATTTATAAGAATAAAATAATTGTTAAAATGCGAAGAAACGTTAAAATCTATTTTCTAAAATAATAAAATTTAAATGTAAGAACATATGCTCAACCACTTCACCTAAATCACATTCTGTCATGCCATGTTCTTTTATTAAAACATTTCATTCCAAGTAAGGTGATAAAGTCACTGGGACGCAGGGGTTTGCATTGAGTGAAAGAGAAGAGAGAAAGAAAAGTTTAATGCGAAGAAGTGAGGATAAGGGCAACAAAGGAGCAAGATTCTGAAAGAAAGAAGACAGAGTTTTGTGGTTATAGGGAGAAAAGTAATCTAAAGACAGTCCCACAGGGTTGAAGTGCGAGAAAAAAATCTTAGAATAGAAGAGACAGTTGAATTTAGCTAGTTCAGCAGAAACGGTAAGACTACATTAATAATTTAGTAGCAAGCTTAAATCAATGCAATCAAAGCACTAAGGAATAGGCATATCAGATCAATTGCCATGAAAATATATGTAGAAAAGAGAGAGGGAAGCCACGTCAGGTCGGTGAGAAAGTGATTGCATTCCAGATGATAGGTCTGGATTGTTACAGAAATTCTTTAGATAGATAGATAGATAGATAATGAAAAGACAGGGATAGATAGATAGATAGATAGATAGATAGATAGATAGATAGATAGATGGTTGTATCTAGCTAGTTCAGCAGAAAACGGTAAGACCAAACTGACAATCTAGTAGCAGGATTAAATTCATGCAATCGAGGTACTAAGAAACAGACATATAAGATCAGTTGCCATTTGGGCACCTCGAGGTAGTGTAATGGTTAGCAAGCTTATCATGCCAGCACGATTATGACTGAGTAGTGAGTTCGATCCTCATTGAGTGTCCCATACTTTCGGCCTTGTGCCACATCTGATCTACGCTTGGAAAATCACTATAAGATCGTCATGAAAATATGTGTAGAAAAGAAGGAAATCGGATTGGTGAGAAAGTGACTGAATTCGAGATGTCAGAACAGGTTCTATTACATTACAGACGATTCTTTAAATTTAGTCAAATTTTCTGGTCAAATTTGTTCTAATGAAACAATCTTTTTTAATGACGCTTGTTGAGATCAAACGAAAAGACATGCAACATAACTTATATAATTATTATATATAGATATAGATACGTATAAATTTATATATATTTATTATAGACAGACATATATACGTATAAATAAGCCTTTCATTCCATGAGGAACTTTATCAAGGTTGGTGTGTAGTATTTATTTAATAAACTGTGTTTATTATACAAAGATGTGAAGAAAAACTTCACGATATATGTGTAAGTACATATCAATATACAGTGCTGTTCGATAAAAGTTACTCACCTGATTTTTTTTTACTTAAATTTTTTCTCGCCTATTGTTTTTGGGATCAAACTAACTTTTAATCTTACTAATATAAAGACCCCTTCCTGATCACCTAGTAAAAAAGTTTTCTAACCCTAAGGTATTCTATTAATAATTATAATTTTGGATATAAATGAGATTTAGGGAAAAACTCCATGCAAAAAAAGTGACTCACTTTATTCCTGCAACTAATAATCAATAGAAACATAACCGAACAGCTTTAAATAAAGAATAATAGAGGTATAATTTATTTATAATAGGTAATATATATATTTAATAATCTATGGGTTCTCTTTTATTTTGAATAACCTTTTCAACCCTTTTTGTCATTGACTTGATTAGGTTCTGGCAAATCCCATCTCCAAGCATTGAATTCCATGAAATTCACAATCAAATCCTCTTTGTTGTTAAACTGCTTTCTCGAGAGCCTGTACTTTATAATGCTCCATAAGTTTTCTATGGGGTTGAGGTCAGGAGATTGGGGCAGCCATGTCATAACACTCACCTGCTTCTCATCAAAGTATTCCTTTATCAATTTTGATTTGTGACAGGGAGCATTATCCTGCATAAAGATGAGCTTGGTGGGGTCAATTTACACCCTTTCAGCAGAAGGGAGCAGACAAGACTCTAAAATTCTCTTGTACTGCTCGCTCCTGGGGGTCTTTTCAATAAGTTTTAAGAAACCCGTTCCATGAAAAAGAAACCATCCCCAGAAAATTATACTGAACGGATGCTTGACAGTACTTACTGTTAATTTCAAAGAGCTTTTTGAAAGCTTCTTCTTCGGATTTTAGATCGATGAGTCTTATCCTTTAATTTAGCTCAACTTTCGTTTCATCGGAGAATATATATTTATATAAAAAAAAACCAGATGAGTCATACTTTTATCGAACAGCACTGTATATATATATATATATATATATATATATATATATATATATATATGTATGTATATATATATTTTAAAGGCTCATATATATATATATATATATATATATATATATATATGATATGTATATACATAAACATGAAGATGAGATAGATAACAATATAGATAATATAGACAAAGAAATCAGAGCCAGCTAACTTGATAGATAGATAGATAGATAGATATAGATAGATAGATAGATAGATAGATGATGATGGATAGATAGATAGATGGATAATAATTTGAATTAGATAGATAGATAGATAGATAGATAGATGAATGAATGGATGGGATAGATAGATAGATAGATAGATAGATAGATAACAATTTGAATTATAGATGGATAGATAGTAGATAGATAACAATTTGATTAGGAACAGACTGATAGATAGATAGATAGATAGATAGATAGATAGATATAGATAGATAGATAGATAGATAGATGGATAGATGATGGATAACAATTTGAATTAGATAGATAGATAGATGGATAGATGATGGATAGATTTATGAGATTGGATGAATTAGATAGATAGATAGATGGATAGATAGATGGATAGAATTAGATAGATAGATGGATAGATGGATAGATAGATAGATGGATAGAATGGATAGACTTAGATAGATAGGATAGATGGATGAGATGGATGATGGATGATGAATAATTTGATGGATGATGGATAGATGGATGAGATGATGATGGATAACAGATTGGATGGATGATAGATGGATGATGGAATGGATGGATGATATAGATGGATGGATGGATGGATGGATGGATAGATAGATGGAAAGATAGATGGGATAGATAGGATAGATAGATGGATGGATGGAATGATAGATGATGGATGATAGATAGATAGATGGATGGATTTGAATTAGATAGATATAGATAGATGGATAGATAGATAGATGGATGGATGGATGGATAGATGGATAGATGGATAACAATTTGAATTAGATAGATGGATGGATGGATGGATGGATGGATGGATGGATAGATGGATGGATGGATGGATGGATGATGGATGGATGGGACAGACTGAGATGGATGGATGGATAGGGATAGATGAATGAATTGAGATAGACTGGGATAGATAGATAGATAGATAGATGGAGATGGATGGATGAGATGAATGGAGATAGATAGATGGATGGATAGATAGATGATAGATGAGATAGATAGATAGATGGATTTGGATGGATTAGATGGATGGATGATGGATGGATAGATAGATATGGATGGATGGATAGATAGATGATAGAGATAGATTAGATAGATAGATAGATAGAACAAACAGACTTTAGATAGATTTGATAGATAGATAGATAGATAGATAGATAGATAGATAGATGGATGGAATGATAGATGATAGATAGATAGATAACAATTTGAATTAGATAGATAGATAGATAGATAGATAGATAGATGGATGATAGATGATAGATAGATAGATAGATAGATGAATTAGATAGATAGATAGATGATAGATAGATGGATAATGAAATGACTGAGATAGATAGATGGATAGGATAATGAACAGACATGGATAGGTAAATGAACAGACATAGTTTTTCATGTCAGTAACTATTCACCTATTTGCCAACTGCTTTAATAGCTCCTTGCAAAAATGCTTCATTTACATTCGTTTGAAAAGATTCAGTTTTATAAGTGATGACATGGTGCTTTTGTGGGGGGGGTTCTCCACAGAATTGATTAAGTCATCTCAAGGTGGGGACCATTCTATGATTAGAACCTCACTATTCAATTATTTGCTAATAGTTTTTAAACTTATGACTTACTTTGATAGGTGAAGCCAGTCAGTGGATCCTCTCTCTTGAAAGTCTACCAACAAAGTTTTGCATCGCTGAACAGATAAAGTTTCTTTCTTATTGACATAAAGAACTTCCAGTGTTCTATATTCGTGAGAATGTCAATTTAAATTGCATTCAACATTCTTTTGTCGTAGCCATCGAAGTGGATATGACTGTGGAAATTTAACTCGAGAAAAAATTATATAATACCTGTGTTTGCATTGCTTAAATTTTAAAAAGAACGAAAAAGTAAACATATATATAAAGAAATGGACAAGGTCCGACAATTTATTTATTAAAGACATTTTTATGTTTAACGTTGTTATTTATAGATACAAGTATTTAAGCAAATGGTCTGTTTATGATAAACAGTATTAAATAACATTACCCGATCTGAATGTCCGAGAAATTTTCATAGAAAATATTCGTTCTTTGACAGGATTCGAACCTGCATCCTATACGGAACCGTCATTTACGCTGACGTGCCTAACCTCTGGGCCACAAAGAACCTTTCTCGGACATTCAGGCCGGTAAATGTTATTTAATACTGTTTATCATAAACAGAGCATTTGCTTAAATATTGTATCTATAAATAACAACGTTAAACATAAAATGTCTTTAATATATATATATATATATATATATATATATATATATATATATATATATATATATATATATCAATATCAATGCAAGAAATTAAATCAACAAAAAATAATCAGCATATGAAATAAACTTTATGCATTGCCACCGTAAATTCTATAATTACAGTTTTTTTTTTCTCCCGCACTTCTTGCTTGTGGAACTTTGCTTGATGTCGCCATAAATTCTATGTTAATATGCCAAAGTATTAGAGGTTCTAATTAACTCTGAATTAGTTAAGCATCTCACCTCACATGGTCTTATTTCAGATAAGCAATATATCTTTCACTTCCCTACGTCGACTGTTGATGTATAAGGGATTATGGGTGAAAGAAGCTTCAGATAAGAAGCTTTGGCTGTTGCTTTAGACATCGCAAAGGCATTTAATAGGGTTTGGCATAGTAAGTGTTCGTCACAAGCCGAAAGATTATGGTATTTCTGGACGAATTTTTGAACTGATTCATTCTTTCTATCAAATTTCAAAATGAAATTTGTCTTGACCGCCCATCTTCTAGAACTTTTTGCATTGATGCATATGTGCCCCATGACTCTTTCCTTAGACCTAACTTGTTCCTAATTTTCATCAATGACCTTCCTGATGCCATCGGTTCTCAACATCGGTATATATGCCAATGACATAACTATTTACTCTTTTCTTAATAATAAGTTTAATGGGTTCGATAAAATCAAATTGGCAGCTGATCTCAAAAATGGCCCCCAAAATGTTGACAACTGTGGCAACAAATGGCTCCAAAACGAAACTGATCCCTTTTATTCTTAATGTCATTTAAACTTAATGTCTTCAGAAACCATTTTTACCAGTGCTCATATTGCATTGTCCGAATAAATGTAAATAGCGTACATAATACCCCATTGCAGAAATATAGACAGATACTGATACTCTCTTATCAAATCGCAAAATGAATATTTGTCTTGAACGGCCATCTTCTAGAACTTTTTGCATTAATGCATATGTTATCCATGACTCTTTCCTTAGACCTAACTTGTTCCTAATTTTCATCAACGACCTTCCTGATGCCATCGATCTTCATTCGGTATCTGTGCAAATGACATAACTATTTACTCTTGTCTTGTATAAAACAATTTTATAATGTTTGGTTTCAGTTTTTTTTAATATAGATAGGTATGATGTTGTAAATGTTTAGAAATTTTGAACGCATCATTCACATGAAATGTCTAAATATACGAAATATATATATATATATATATATATATATATATATATATATATATATATATATATATATATATATATATAAGTTTGATCAGTTAGATAAGATCAAATTGAGAGCTGATCTCAAAACTGACCTCCGCACTGTTGTCAACTGGGGCAAGAAATGGCTTTTGAAAGAAGCTTTAGATGAGAAGCTTGTGTTGTTATTTTGAAATCGCAAAAGCATTTAATAGGGTTTGGCATACAAGGTGTTCTGCACAAGCCGAAAGATTGTAGAATTTCTAGAGGAATTTTTGAATTGATTCAGTCTTTCTATCATGATTGCATTATTTGTCTGAGTTTAAACAATTTTTAGAGAATAGTGTAATGGCACTCGATCTAGAGTTTTTCTAGCTTTGAGTTCAAAGTTTATCATGAACAAAGGTAAAAAAAAACTTTGATTTCTCAAGTCTAGGAATTTCTAAGAATAAAATAATTGTTAAAATGCGACGAAACGTTAAAATTCATTTTCTAAAATAATAAAATTTGATTTTAAAAACATACACTCAACCACCGTTATTTTCTTTCTTCTTTTTTTTTTTAAATCATTTCATCCTAAGTAAGGAGATAAAGCCACTGGGACGCAGGCATTTGCAATGAGTGAAAGAGAATGGGAACACTTTAGTTTAGTAGGGAGAAGTGACGATAAGGGCAACAAAAGTGCAGGATTCTGAAAGAAAGAAAATAGCGATTGGTGGCTATAAGGAGAAAAGAAATCGAAAAACAGTTCCACGGGCGTGAAGTGCGTGATAATGAACTGTTATAATAGAAGAGACAATGGTATCTAGCTAGTACAACCGTAATGGTACGCTTAAATTCATGCAGTCGGGGTACCAGGGAAAATGTTCACCAGAACAACTATGAAAATATGTGTAGAAAAGAAAGCCATGTCAGGTTGGTGAGAAAGTGATAGAATTCCAGATGGCAGGTCACAATCGAATAGGTGAAGCCAATAAGTGGATCCTCTCTCTTGCAAATCAATCCACAAAGTGTTGTATCGCTGAACAGATAAAGTTACTTTCTTATTGACATACAGAATTTCAAGTGTTCTATATTCGTGTGAATGTTCATTTTAATGACCTTCAACATTCTTTCGTCATAGTCATCGAAGCGAATATGACTGAAAATTTATCTTGAGGATAAGTAATATAATACCTGTGTTTGCATTGTTTAAATTTTAAAAACGAATACAAAATTGAAACATATATACCGCATTTATGTGTTTAAATCTGTGAACGCAAGAAATTAAATCAACAAAAAAATAATCAACATACGAAATAAACTTTATGCATTGCCACAGCAAGTTATATGATAACAGTTTCTTCTCCCGCACCTCTCGCTTGTGGAACTTTCTAACCCGTTCCTTGCTTGATGTCTCCATAAGTTTTATGTTAACATGACAATGTGTTAGAGGTTCTAATTAACTCTGAATTAGTTAAGCATCTCATCTCACGGGGTCTTCTTCCAGATAAGCAATATGGCTTTCGTTTCCCTAGATCGACTGTTGATGTATTAATGATTATGGGTGAAAGAAACTATAGATGAGAAGCTTTGGCTGTTGCTTTGAAATGGCAAAGGAATTTAATAGGGTTTGGCGTACTAATGTTCTTCACAAGCCGAAATTCTGGACGAATTTTTGAACTTATAACGTCTTATCAAACCGCAAAATGAAATTTTTCTTCAACGGCCATCTTCTAGAAATTTTTGCATTAATGCATATGCATAACTTGTTCCTAATTTTCATCAATGACCTTCCTGGTGCCATCGATCTTCATTCGGTATCAGTGCAAATGACATAACTATTTACTCTTGTCTTAATAGGAAGTTTGATCGGATCGATAAGATCAAATTGGCAGCTGATCTCAAAAATGACCAAGATGCCTCCAAAACGAAACTGATCTCTTTTACACGTTTGTTAGAAGAATTTGGGTTTCCATCAGCATTACTGATACTCACCTTCAGGAAATCGAATTGCACGTTCTTGGACTATCTTTTGATATAAAATGAAAAGTGTATATAGAATCAATTGCTAAGTGTGCTGCTAGGAAAGTTGTTTCACTGTGTCGTGCAAGAAAACGTTTCTCGCAGGCTTCTAACTTACATATTTATAAGTCTAGCATTCGTCCTTGTTCAGAATATTGCTGCCACGTCTGGTCTGGTCTGGTCTGGTCTGGCCTGGTCCTCCTGCTATATATTTAGAGATTACGATAAAAACTAAAAAAGAATCATATGCAATATTATTGAACTTCATCTGGCATCTCGGCTCCAGTCACATTCCCACCGCCGTAACGTAGCTTCCCTCTGCCTTTTCTATAAATATTTTCATGGTAATTGGTCTGATGAACTTTTCTTTATGGTACCTAAACTTGATGAATCTAAGAGAAAGTACCAGATTGCCGGCATAGTCTCATCATTTTACAGTTGAAATGTCAAGCTGCGATTAGAATTCTGCAAAATTTTCCTGAATAAACTCAATGAAGATGAGACTTTTCTTGATAAAACATGGTGGTCAGATGAAGCAACCTTTAAATTGAACGGGTAAATCAATCGACATAATTGTGTGCACTGGAGTGATGTTAGCTCACATATTATCCCTGAAAAAAGATGTTAACTTACCAGGAATGACGGTTTGTGTCATAAATATATTCGTGAGAATAATAGGACCTATATTTTTTAATGCTACTGTTAATCAATATAAATATTTACAAATGAAGCAAACTGAATTCTGGCCAACAGTTAGAAATCGGAATGAGATTTACTTTCAAAAGGATGTCGCGCCGCCCAACTGGGATTTATGCGATCGGAAATGGTTAAATCTTAATTCGGGGCTAAGGTGGATGTCCTATCCACCTTGGAA